TCTCTCCCACTAGGCTGTGCTCCTTCATTTTCTGCCTTGATTTTTACACATTCCTCAACTAGGCGAAGAGTATACCTGGACCAGAAGTGGTGCAGTTCCCTTCTCCAGATCTAACTCTCTCATCTGATGGGTATCCTTCAGACACTTTTGGGAGGGTACATCTGTTATTCCCTCATACCAGTGCTCCTTCTAATCAGTGTGGGATTCTATCTAATCTTATGAGTGGAGGGAAGTACTGTATCGGAAGTTTTAATTTTCCTATATAGAAAAGGTATTTCCAATAGATACTTCCATCCGCTCACACTTCCCACGTTTCCTCCTCACTCACTTCCGGTGCTTCAGCCATCTGCCAAACTTCAAAGTGATAGTTTGGTAGAGGCGCATAGAGGGAGTCACATGAGTGTACTATGCACCTATTGGTGCTACATTCAACATACCACATGACACACAAAAATCGATGTTTAACTGTGTTTTTTTAATATTTACTTTTAAATTAAAAATTGAGTAAGGTATAATGCTAAAATTTGCATTATAATCTGCAGTTTTATACCAAAGTTATTGACATAAGTTCATGAAATAGTAATTCAATAAAATGCAAGTCAACAAACGAGATGACATGGCCTTTCACCCATGACCTGTCTGCAAAGGGTTAACGTTAATTATGTTAAGAAAAAATAGAAGCACAATTTTATATCTTTTGTTACAAAATATTTTTTATTTCAACCATCCAGTGGAAGGGTACTCCAGCTAGTTTATTCATAAAATTCATTGGTAAAATAAATCTAAATCAATTACTGATCATGTCTTTCTAACTCTTACACCACCATGCTTATAGATAGGCAGTTTTCTTCTAGTGCCAGGTTTATTTTTGGATAAAGAGCAAAAACAAAAAGACACATACTAAAAATAAATATGATACCTAATATATCATTTAAATGATTTGTCATTAATCACTGAGTTATATCAGTTTTGGGGATCAACTGGTATAATGTAATGATGTGGTTATTCAAGTGATAGTTTGGGCTTCGTATATATTTTAGTATTTTAAACAGTTTGTGAGCTGAATTGTTCAAAAAAATTAATTTATAGAATCAATGTTATATATTATTCAAATCCTATATAAATATAAAAACATTGTGGTAAGAAAAGAGCATCTCAAAACACCATACATGTAAAGAGAAACATGTTTTAGTATTTCATTACTTATCTAAAACTTGAAACTTTGGAAAGTGTGAAAGGGTTCTCTGTTTTTATAGTGATACAAAATCCAAAACTTGTATAACAGAGCTCTAAAGAGGAACATATGTATGTCCATTGTAGTGAAATAGTTGAATCAACGATAGAACTTAGTGGTTATGGTGCTTTATTCACAATCTGTGTCATGAGTTTGAATCACAATCACAGAACATGCTTGTCCTTTCAACTGTGAGAGCATTATAATGTAATGATCAATCCCATTATTTGTTGGAAAAAAGTGGCCCAAGAGTTGTCAGTGGCTGATGTTGACTAGCTGCCTTCCTTCTAGTTTTTCACTGCTAGTGCAGATAGCCCTTGAGTAGCTTTGCATGAAATTCAAGACAAAAGAAACCCAATAATAGACATTACTGCATATGTTGTATTTTCTGATAAAAACTGATTTCCAAAGAAGTATCAGATAGATAATCCCACTAATAACAGCAGATTCAATCATGAAATAAGGGAACTGTTCTGTATTTGATAATTTGAATGAAGTTCTTTAAGTGTGAAATAAAAAGACTGAACAATTGTAAATAAATAATCAAACTCTTTATTATGACAAAGAAACAGAAAGTAAAGTATGTGTACTTGCATAGAAAGAATCACAGTCAATTCTACTGTAGTGTGTTTAGCTCCACAGCTTTCTTTCCCTCAGGATTAGTCTCCATTGATTGAACTAAAACCTGATGATCTTGAAGTACGTATTCACTAAACAATTTCCTGGTAGAATTGGCTATAGAAAATATGTCTGAATTCAAAAGGTAAACTCGCTTTATTTTTTCAGTCAAAAGCTCCACCTTGTAACCTTTGTTCTCTCACAAAGTCAGCTCAGTCAGAAAAAGATATTAAAGTGGTAATCCTTTCAACCTGGATGCTATATGTTATTACAATATCCTCTAGGCACAGTAGAAACTGTTTATTATAGAGAACAAAGAAACAAAGCAACTATAATCAGGCAATTTCAATGACTTTCTGGATCACATGTTACCACCAGTACAGCGTGTAAACTAAATAACCAAATAATTTTTAAAATTCGTATATCATTAAAGCAGGTAGAAAACATATGATATTCTTGCATACCACACATATAAACAGAGTAATAAACTTAAAACATATGCCCATGGTAGTGAAAGAATTAAACCAGTTTCCACTAAGAGAGAGAGAACTATATATAAATACCTACTGCTCATAAACTTAAGACAGATTTGTAAAATAAAATTACTTCCTACTACAGATGGCTCAGTTTTCTGGCATTTACATATATTATCAATAATAATATTTCAAAGTAGTGTAAAGAGGATATTACCATGAATATTTCAAATGCTGTGAGTTGATGCTACTAAATAATATTAGTTCTGTAGTCAATTCTGAATTAACTATATTAGAAATTTCATTAAATCATTGGCTATTGAAAAAATTATTTACACTATAGAAAATCACAGTTTTATCTAAAACTCAAAATAATTCTCTTTATTTTTTGTCAAAAGTCCACTGATTCCATTATTTTAGAATCCAATTGACAAGACGAATTATTTTTATCTACTCTTATCACAATAGTATCAGTGAATAATTCACTTATGTTACCCTGTGGGTTACCACAGTTGTATCTTGAACCTTAAGTAATTGTCTCCTTTTCATCAAAGTTCACACAAGCAGATTTAATTACTACAGAACACCCTTTGACAAGACAAATTATTCCCCTTATCTCTGTTAAACTGTGAAACTCACTTTAAAAAATTGTCAATTATGGCTAAACTAACAATCACACAGTCTAACTTCACTTTCACTAACTTAACTTTTACTGACTTCCATCACCTCTTTTGTTGGTTACCACAGGGAATTTTAAATAATTGTCTCTTTTATTGGTCAAGAGTCCACATAGGCTGGTTCAGTTACTTTAGAACCTAATTGATAAGACATATTATTTTTCCTATCTCTGTTGTTACATTACAGCTGTGAAACACATTATATAAATCACCTGTTAAGCTAATCACTCACACACCGGCTAACTTCACATTTTCTAACTAACTTTTCTTTGACTGAACTTCACTTTTTCTTTTGACTGAACTCTTCTTAGCTTGTGCTTCCTTAGTCACCTATACCTTGCCCAACTGAGGCTTGGAATTTTTCTACAAACTAGGAGAAGCTATTGTTACATATCTACTCGTTTGTTAATTTCCGGTATAAATTCTTTTCAAGAAACTTCAGCGATACAAG